GGGGGTCCGAGATCAAAGTCGGGGGTCCGAGATTAAAGTCGGGGGTCCGAGATTAAAGTCGGGGGTCCGACTTTAAATTCGGGGGTCCGACTTTAAAGTCGGGGGTCCGAGATTAAAGTCGGGGGTCCGAGATTAAAGTCGGGGGTCCGACTTTAAAGTCGGGGGTCCGAAATTAAAGTCGGGGGTCCGAGATTGAAGTCGGGGGTCCGACTTTGAAGTCGGGGGTCCGAGATTAAAGTCGGGGGTCCGACTTTAAAGTCGGGGGTCCGAGATTAAAGTCGGGGGTCCGATTTTAATCTCGAAAATTCCGAGAAAATGATGGAATGAGCAAAATACGTCATCACTTTTGTTTGATTCGAATATCCTTAATATCGACAAAATATCAATATAACATATACAGTGTGATCCACGGTGGATGGCTTATTAGAAGTATCTGGAGAACGAAAAGACAGAACATTCTGAAAATTGGGATCCTTTGATAATTGAACATTCTCTATCCGTTTGAAATATGTTCATCGATACAGTGTTGCCACTTCTATTAGAAACAACCAACAACTTTGTTATTTCTAATGGAATACCCTGTATTTTATTGCATTTTCAGATTCTTCCTGAAGAGCTGATTTCATCAATGTCAAAAATACAGGGTGCTTCAAGATTCAGAATTCTGATCACCCTGTATCTGTTCCAATCAAATGTCAGTAGACAGTGAATCGAAAGTTAAGATAGGGACATGTGAACCGTTTTGATCGATAATGAATAGTTTCGACACAAAAAAATCTTAACATTGAAAAATCCTGATTTTGAACACCCTATATCTCTGTAATCATTCCTGCTAGAACCCAAGTGTGATGCATTGATGAAATCAGCTGTTCAGGAAGAATCTGAAAATGTAATAAAATACAGGGTGTTCCATTTGAAATAACAAAGTTGCTAACTGTTTCTGATAGAAGTAGCAACACTGTCTCGATGAAAGTATTTTAGACGAATAGAGAATGTTCATTTATCGGAGCATCCTAATTTCCAGAATGTTCTGTCTTTTAGTTCTCCAGATACTTCTAATATGCCATCCACCGTGAATCACCCTGTATAATTAGTTAATTCATAATGAAAACTGCGCATTGAAAACTTGATTCTCAACGTTTTCATAAGGCTTTGAAATTTGGCTATTTATTGAAGAAGATTATGAAAATAGTCCGGAAGGGTTAACTCATACCTACAAATGTAATCATATATCATTGAACTCATCTTTCTGAGCTCTACCCAAGGACGGAATGACATTCAGGGTAGTTCATTTGTGAAAATATATGTTTTGTATTGTAATCTTTTTGCACCCTTTGAACAAACAAATGAGTTTCTCAGCTATTAAGTGGAATATAAACAATCACCCTATACGTACGAATCGTACGATAATGATAGTACAGGTGTGATCCATTATTTGACATTCAGTGTACATCCAAAAAGGAGGATTTTGACTGATCCTTATGTGATGATTATCCAATGGATGTAAAATTATTGTTTGTACATAAATGTACAGGGTGTTTCTCGAGTACATGTAGAAAATTCAGGAGCATGTTGCTGACGTCAAACTGATGAGTAACAATGGAAATTATTTATTTCTGTCCATATATTTAACGAATATAATCTAGCTCCTAACTTCAGTTCCGAACTCCCGACTTTAATCTCGGACCCCCGACTTTAATCTCGGACCCCCGACTTTAATCTCGGACCCCCGACTTTAAAGTCGGACCCCCGACTTTAATCTCGGACCCCCGACTTTAATCTCGGACCCCCGACTTTAATCTCGGACCCCCGACTTTAATCTCGGACTTCCGACTTTAATCTCGGACCCCCGACTTTAATTTCGGACCCCCGACTTTAAAGTCGGACCCCCGACTTTAATCTCGGACCCCCGACTTTAATCTCGGACCCCCGACTTTAATCTCGGACCCCCGACTTTAATCTCGGACCCCCGACTTTAAAGTCGGACCCCCGACTTTAATCTCGGACCCCCGACTTTAATCTCGGACCCCCGACTTTAAAGTCGGGATTCAAAAAAAAAAGTATAGGTGGCCCTTCAGCGCCTTCGTAAAAAACAATCGGTGTGAAGCCAGCAAGACGTCCGCGCCAGCAAGAAAAAAGATCACGAAAAGCAGGCCGGGCAAAATAAATACAGGGAATATTAGAAATTTATTCTAAATTAGTGCAGGAGTGATTTTTCATCAGGAAAAATGCTGAACTGTTATTCCAGATAACGAATAGGCATTATTGAAAGTTCGGAATTCCAATCAGGAAGAAAATAATTTTCATTTTTCATTGCTGTGTAGAAACCTGTTATTTTGAAAAAGAAAAAATGGCTTGCTATGGATTTTTTTTGTCAAAAAACTGTCTACTGATTTTGTCACATCCATTTCACCCCTATTTCACCCCGATAATGGCAAAAAAATCAGAAATCTGTCATTTTCATTAAGAAAAAAATGTCTTGCTATGGATTTTTATTATCAAAACATACGTAACGCAGACAAAAGAAGAGATTCATCATGTCTACTGATTTTGTAGCATCGATTACACCCCTATTTCACCCCGATATTGACAAAAAATCAGAAATCTGTTATTTTCATAACGGAAAAATTTCATGATTTGGATTTTTTCTGTCAAATAACAAGTAACGTAAACGAGAGAAGATATCATGTCCACAGATTTTGTCGCATCCATTTCACCCCGATAATGTCTAAAATATTTGAAATCTGTCATTTTCATTAAGAAAAAATGTCTTGCTATGTAGTAGTAGTAGTACATTTATTGGCCATATCAAGTAATCAGGTACAAATGACAAGTCAAACTTCACAAGATAAAATGAAAAATAACATATACATATACAAACATTTCAGTAGACATCTTAAAATGGATTTCTTGTAAAAAAACACGTCACGTAGAAGAAAGAAAAGATTTATCATGTCTGCTCATGGCTTAAAAATCATTTTGAAAATGAAAAAATGTTTTGTTATGGATTTTTTTTGTCGGAAAACACGTAACTTAGACGAAAGAAGAGAATCATTATGTCCACTGATTTTGTCGCATCCATTTCACCCCGATAATGTCGAAAAAATCAGAAATCTGTCATTTTCATAAAGAAAAAATGTTTTGCTATGGATTTTTTTGTCGGAAAACACGTAACTTGAACGAACGAAGAGAATCATCATGTCCACTGATATGTTCGCATCCATTTCACCCCTATTTCACCCCGATATTGGCTAAACAATCAGAAATCTGCCATTTTCATAAAGAAAAAATGTCTTGCTATGAATACTTTTCATCGAAAAACACGTTACGTAGACGAAAGGCAAGATTCATTATGACCACTGAATTTGTCGCATCCATTTCACCCCTATTTCACCCCTATTTCACCCCTATATTGTCTAAAACATCAGAAATCATTTTGAAAATAAAAAAATGTCTTGCTATTGATTTTTTTCGTCAAAAAACAAGTAAGGTAGACGATAGAAGAGACTCATGATTTCCACTGATTTTGTCGCATCCATTTCACCCCTATTTCATTTTCAAAATGACAGATTTCTAATTTTTAGACATTATCTGGGTGAAATAGGGGTGAAATGGATGCGACAAAATCAATAGGCATGATGAATCTCTTTATTCGTCCACGTTACGTGTTTTTTGACAAAAAAAATCTATAGCAAGACATTTTTTCATTTTCAAAAGGATAGATTCCTGATTTTTTAGCCATTATTGGGGTGAAATAGGGGTGAAATGAATGCGACAAAATCAGTAGACATGATGAATCTCTTCTTTCGCCTGCATTACGTGTTTTTTTGACAAAAAAAATCCATAGCAAGACATTTTTTCCTATTTCAAAATAACCAGATTTCTACTCAGCAATGAAAAATGAAAATTATTTTCTTCCTGATTGAAATTCCGAACTTTCAATATTGCCTATTCATTATCTGGAATAACAGTTCATCATTTTTTATGATTTCTGATTTAGAATAAATTTCTAATATTCCCCGTATTTATTTTGCCCGGCCTGCTTTTCGTGATCGTTTTTCTTGCTGGCGCGGAGGTCTTGCTGGCTTCACACCGGTTGTTTTTCGAATACCGGTGAATCATGCATTCCTAGGGAGAATAGGGAGAGGAGGTGGTATTGGATTTTTTTCACTTTTGGAGATTCTAAGTTCTCTGGGAATACTTCCTCAGGCAATGAACTCCAGATCTTAGCCATTCTATAAACAGAGATGGAACTGAGATGGACCAGAGATAAGCTTCAAAGACACAGATTCAAATCATTTGTAGCTATTAGTAACATGGGAATATAACAGCTGAAAGGCTAAATCAAGTATTGATTGAGAGCACACATTCATCATCATATTTTGTCACTGAGATGTATGAAAAATCAAAACAAAAAATCATTTGCAGGAATAATTTTCCATTTTTATGCTGAAAACGTAGTGAATACGGGAGTAAATCTGAAAAATCCAAAATCATGCAAACAATTTTTATTTTATCAATGTATCTACATTCCTCCCAAACATTTATATTTTTATCTATTATCCTCCGAAACATTTTTCAAAGCAAGGTGTCACCGACTGTCGATTTAATTTCTCTTTTAGCTTCTCTAATAGTGTCATTTTAGAAGGAGTTATGTTTTGGGACAAATCATTTGATTAGTTCTACTACACTCGGGTATATAGAAATATTACTCATATTTTTATTTATAGCAAAGAGGGGATAAAATCCTAAAAACTATCAATAAATGAATATTCAACCTCATCAATTAACCCCCAAAAAACAAATGATCAACCTCAAATTCACACACAATAGTACTAAAATCTATTGGAAAATTGAAAATTTGGGGACATTTTGGTATATCAAGTTTTGAATTATTTTTGACATTGTAAATGTACATCAAAGAAGTGATTACTTTGTTCTTAAGATAATCTTTTTTTCCAGTGTAAACCACACTAGACAAAATTCCACCAATACCACCAATGTCAAGTCTGTCCTATCGACATCCACCCCAATCACATTTTCAGCAACCTGGCATCGCCGCCCCAGCTCCAGCCATGTCCCAACGTTTCTGTCTCAGATGGAACAACCATCAGTCCAACCTTCTCTCAGTTTTCGACCAACTGTTGCACGATGAGAGCTTCGTCGATGTGACGCTGGCGGTGGAAGGCCAATTGCTAAAAGCCCATAAAATGGTCTTGTCAGCTTGCAGCCCCTACTTCCAAGCGCTGTTCATCAACCATCCAGACAAACACCCCATCGTCATACTCAAAGACGTGCCCTACATAGACATGAAGTGTTTGCTGGACTTCATGTACAGAGGTGAAGTAAGTGTCGATCAGGACAGACTGACGGCTTTCCTGAGGGTGGCGGAAAGTCTAAGGATAAAAGGGTTAACCGAGGTTAACGAAGAAAAATGTGATACCATAGCTTCCTCGCTCACACAACAAAACCTACACAACTTGCCGCATCTGCAGCGTCTACAGCAAAACAAGCGGTACGGACACAACCTCAACATGTTGAGTAACGCATTGTTGCAACCGAAAAGAAAGAGAGGCAGGCCTCGAAAATTGTCCGGTTGCTCCAATGGTCCCGATGATTTCGATAAGGATATCGTGCAGGGCAGTCCTGAGATGTTGGAGGTCAAGATGGGGATGGACAATTTCAATGAGAACTCGAACGGGAGCGTGGGGAAACTTGATATTGACGAGAAGGAGATTAAGGAGGAACAGGAACCTATGGCTGGGACGTCGAACGAGGAAAGTATGCAACAACACCAGCAGCCAATGTACAAAAATTCTGAAGAGTTTCAGTCTTCCGGTAAGTTTATACATTTTTTTGTCCGTTGACATTCCACTACTCACATGTTATATATTCGTTTTAGTAGACAGAAAAGCACAAGATTTAATGCCAGTGCTGGCGTTCAAACCAGTCAAGGCATGAAATCTGCCTTTCTTACATATGAAACATATAGTTTTTTAAGTCATGGACCATTCATCCTTCTCAAAGTGGCCCAGATTTTTTCGAAGAAAAAAACAAAATAACACAAAGTCGGTCGATCACAAAATTTTATTACTAAAATTGGATTTTTTGTGACTAGTTTCGGCTCAAACAGCCATCTTCAGACACAATACAAAATAAAGGGACTGATTTTTGGCCAAATGACCATGGCTTTTTAAATTTTAATCTTATTTTATAATGTGATTTCCACGTGGACTTATAGGTACTGTGTATTGTGTCTGAAGATGGCTGTTTGAGCCGAAACTAGTCACAAAGAATTCGATTTTTAATTTTTGTAATAAAATTTTGTGGTTGACGGACGGTGACGGTGTTATTTTGTTTTTTTCTTTGATATAATTATTTCTCCAAATTTGTTGCTTTTGTGTTCACCCAAAGCCATTTTGAATTTTCGACTACAAATTTGATTCAAATTATTAATTGGAAATGCAACATTCCAGCAACACACTTTTTCTGCCTATGGGAGAAATAGTTATTAATTATACAAGGGAATAAAGTAATAGATCTCAGCTCAAGGTTGTGCTGTCCTGTAGGGGAGGGAGTCTAAAAACTGTGAGCTAAAATCTAATATTTTTCCCGGGTGTAATACACTATTTTTTCATGACTGGAAAAACGACGATTTATTATTGAGAAGATATTACATAATGATGAAATCAGAAAATTATCAATGTGAAATTTGGTGTTATTAACAGGTATAATACCTGTGTTGCAAGCATCTTTTTGTAGGCATCTTTATTGTTGCTATGGAAACCTTTTGAAGAAATCGAATATCTGTCAATTTAATTGTGTTTTGTTTTCAAAAAATTGCGATTTTAGTGGTTGTTTAGTAATTTACCCAACCACAAAGTGGAACGGAAGATAAAAAGTACTTTTAGTTCATTCTCGGAGACGGTTATCGGCTTATTTTTCCGAAATGGCACAACAAAAGCCATCATCATAGTGCACCTATATTTCCAGAAAAAGATAACTCACTTTTTTCCCGTGGGAAAAAAGTAATTTATAAAAAGTGACATATATATCGTGACCTGTCAACAGCGGTGAAATGTTGAACATTTTTTCCCGTCACTGAAAGAAAAATATTTTCTTTGGAACCACGCTCTTATTTTAATATTACAAAAGTCTTGAATTTGTTGGGATGAAAAATGTCTGTCTACACCGTTTTTCAATGATTTCCACCTACATTCCATTATTTCCAAATGACTTTTTCGATTTGTTACCCTGATAATAAGTAACATATTGCAGATTCACGGCGTCAATTAGATAATTTGAATAAGTTTATTTTTAGCTGTTTATTATTCATGGCAACCATGATTCTTCAAAAGTTTAGAAGATAAGTAATTCTTATTCAGAGCCTTACATATTTGAGAAATGAATAAATCAAAATCCAGCATCAATACCTTTAAATATTGTATAAAACATCTTCAACTTTTTTTTCTAAATTTAGGTTATTGAGAAACAATAAAGGGATTCGGACCCTAATCTTGAATCATATTTATTTATGATATACCTGTTTATTGTCTTATATTTTCAAGCTAGCCTTTCATACATCCTGTTCTATTTAAAAGGCACATAGTTATAACAATGAGTGATAATAAAGCCATCATTTATCATCTTGAACATATTTTGTGAGCAGGATTCACGAAAAATTTAGTTGAAATTCCGAGTGAAATTAAATAACCAAATCAATGAATCAGTCAATGTTAGTAATTCTTTTTAATTAATCTGAGATTACTGATTTATTAATTGTTACTTATTAGTTCAGCTGCATGAATGATTCTTGACTAAATAATTTTTCCATAAATTTGTTGCCTAAATTATACGTTGTATACATATATTGTTACGATATGACTTCACACTACAGTAAATTAATTCATTTGATTACAGTAGTAGTAATAGTAGTAGTAGTAAGTACCAATAAAGCAAAGTGTTGATCAATAATGAACCTACATATTGGATGTCAACTCCTGTCAACTGAATTATTGCAGTTTATAGAAGTTACACTTCAACTCCAGCTCCTCAGATTTGGAAAGTGTAAAATTCAGGAGCTAATTTATGAACAAGAACTGATGATTTTCAAGGTTGCAGTAAAAAACTAATTAGGGTTATCCATGGAAATGGCCTACCCCTATATTTATCTTATTTTTTATCAAGAAAAAAAAACAATATGCTGAAGTTGAATGCCGCAATGCGGCGTTTCCACAGCCCTTATCGAAAGTTCTACAGGGTGATCCCTGAAAACGTGACACTACAAATTATTTTTTTCAAATGGAGCAAACTGTTTTTTATATTTTTTTCGGAATCTGTGATTTTTTGTGATCACAGAAATATATGTATACAGTATGATATATTTTATTTTCACTTTATTATCACCACTTTTTTGACACCAGAAAAACAATTTTTGTGTGTTGGCTTCTTCAGATGTCATGTTAGCCATAAATAAGGATATATTTGACAGTTGTATATTGCATCATTATTGAATACATTCCTGAACTGATTCAGTGAATCAGACAATTGTTTTTCAAGGCTCAAAAGAGTGGTGATAAAGAAGTGAAGATTTTTTATAACAAAAATTCACAGATTCACAAATAAATATAAAAAACAGGGTGTTCCCTTAAAAAAACATATTTTGTGGTTTGTCGCGCTTTCAGGAATCACCCTGTAGAACTTCTGATAAGGGCTGTGAAAAGGCCTTATTGCGGCATTCTACTTCTTCATATTGTTTTTTCCCTCGATAAAAAAAATAACGTAAATAGGACCTCTTCTATGGATAACCCTGTACAAGTTTCAGTCGTAATTCAGATAGCATCAATTGTGTTTCAGAATAGTCACTTGTTCTTCAGAAAGCATCAATTGTATTTCAGAATAGTCAATTGAATTTCAAAAAGCGTCAATTTTATTTCAAATGGTATTTTCTGAAATACAAATGACACGAGAGCCTAAAGTTTTCGAACCATTCCCAAAACAGATTGTCAGATTATTAACGAGAGCCTCGAGGTCTCGAGAAGAAGGAAAAACATCCTTGAAAGCCTAAATCACTACACAAATGATCACAGTGGGCTGACGCCATGCTATTAGTGGACCAGAATAAAACTCCCTGACCAAACTCTATAATTGTATTTCTGACAGTGACATTATAAGCTTATATCGTCATAGTTACGATATCTATAATGAGGGTCATAACTCCCTTGGGATGTTATAGATGCTATAATTCCCTCTAGCTAAAATTAAATAAGAAATGCATAGCAACAACCACGCAATAACGTAGCAATAATGAATCTCCTATTCGCGGTAGTCAAGATCATCATCTGACGTTCTGATGACATTGAAACTATACGGAAAAACATGTCTAACTTCCAATCGGGAAGGTATCTAATGAATGAAATCAGTCAGAAATAAAATTATCTATGTATCACGGGAATTATAGAGCCTTAATAACCTCTGGCAATTGCTGTCCCTCGGGCCAGAGGCCCTCGGGACGCAAACTTTGCCATCGGTAATTAAGGCCCTCATAATTCCCTTAATACATAAATAACTATTATTGCGAAAAATAATCACGTGATGGGAATTTTTCGAAAGATTTAGGCACTTCTCAAATCCCACTTTTTGAAATTCAATTAACTACTTGAATTTCAATTCAATTGGGAAAGGTGTAGTTTTATCCAACATAATATGAAATATTCACACTGTACTTCTCTATGAGTAATATACAGTGTTTCTATAAATGATCATAGTGGCCATCGAAATTGTTCTGCTCTGTGCTTATGTTCATAGGCATTGAAGCTAATGAATGTGTTATGTATCGATCTCCTTAAGTGGAAAGCGGCAAATCCATAAAATATTTCAACAGTCACTACGATGCTACCATCATTTATAGACTTGAGAAATTATTTTTGGTTCCTAGTCCTGAGCTGTGGAATCTTGTTCACAAAATATTAGTATAATATTGTTTTGTGTTGTTGCATAAGACAAGAACCAAAAAATTTGATTTTTTTCTCAACATACAATAGGTATAGTTCATGCAGAGTCAGTTGGAAGAACACATCATCGCAAGCCGTCGGTCCCTTTGAAAGTTCAAAGGGAACGGCATCGCGGCCCGACATTCGTTTGATGATCTGTTCAACTGACTTCCCATAAACTATATAATATATTTTCTTGAACTTTAGTATGGAAAATATTGACGCAATAATAAGTAATATACATTTTCTAAGCAGGGTAGGTAACAACTAGTAAAGAAAGAGGTAAACATGAAAATCATGATTACATGTTTTATAAATTTTGAAATATTTCTCTTTCTTGTTTAATATTTGATTTGTGTCCAATACCTCATTTTGATTTTCTCTATTCATCTGTAGCCATCTAAAAATAGCGACAAAATATTATATACCTGGGTTATGAAGAGTTTGGAATACAACTGAAATTGTTTAAATAATCTACAGATAATTAAACAAACTCGAAACATATTTTGAATTTCCAGATAGATAGGGTTCTTATACTTCTTATCTATTACATTGAAAATATGTGAGTGAAGGGAAAAGCTATAGTGCTGTCGTTGTGTGAATTTTTATAGTGTGCATCAATTTTTCCGAGGTGAGTTGAAACATATTTATTGATAAGGGAAGAGTTACAGGAATGAGCCATTCTACTTACATTACCTACTTATTATATGTTTTCCACATTGTCAATCATTTTCTAACACAAGTTGCGGCTTATTCCCTATAGCTTTTCCCTTTATGACATTTTTCTACATTTGCTTGCTTCATATTTGGTGGTGGCTTAATCAGTTGGTTTGATAATTATAATTG